GTCATAGAGCACACCTGCTCAGGGCCTTGGCACTGGCTGCTCCCTCTGTCTGGGACCCTTTCCACCCAGACTCCCTTGGCTAATTCCTTTTCTTTCTTCACACCTACCCAGGTCACCTTCTCAAAGAGGCGTTGAATTTCCATAATGGTTCCACCACTTTCATTCCGTTTTCTCCTGGCGCACGCTCTCTCTCTCTCTCTCTCTCTCTCTCTCTCTCTCTCTCTCTCTCTCTCTCTCTCTTTCCAGAGCACCACTGAGCAGGCTGTATATTTTACCCATTACCTTCCTGGTTTATTGTCTGTGACCCACTGCCACCTCTTTAGCCTGTGAGCCAAGAGAGCACTGAATTCATTGATAATATCTCAAGATCAAAAAGTGTATGTCAAATAAATACATGCTATTTCATCTCTTTCTTTTCACATGCTCTTCCCTATGTTTGAACCTAACTCACCCTATTCACCCTCATCTACAACCTCACTGACAATTTTTACTCCAAACATTTCTTGCTTACTTATTAGTCCCCCCTATTTGTTGGATCAGGGGATGTACTTTAGGTTGTTTTATCCTGCCTCTTCTCTAATGCAGACCCCAAAAAATAAAGGGGGTCTTTATAAATATTTGTTGAATTCAACTAGCCTAAATGGTATTGTATTGCAATACAAATAAATGGGAAAAAATTGCCTAATTGGTATTTCTTCCAGAGAGCTCACATCGTCCAGCAACCTAAACACACACATCAGATACAAATTCTGACCAATTACTCAGAAGAGCTAATTTCTTAGCCAAAGATTATCTTTTTTTGTGTAAATCCGTTTTCTTAAAATGAGAGATACTGTTGTTTGAATAACTATTTGAGTCAGAGAATAATTTTTTCAAACTCTATGTTGCCAAAGGTGTCAGAAAATATTATTTGGTGATGAATAGCTGGTCTCAGACCAGATGGTTAGTGAATTCTGATGTTTAAAATTTAGAATGCTTTCTGACTAAAACTAAATAAGGGGAAAGTAGAATCGTTATGACTTGCCTACTAAATTCATATGCAAGACATTGTGTCAGCAATTTTTCATTTTATCTTCGCAACAAACTTGTGAGATCTGCTATTATCTATGTTTTATAAAATAAGTAAGTTGAGGCTCACAGAATTAAATAATTTGTTCCATGTCACATGGCAAGTAAGTGATCCAAATCCCTTATGGCTGCAAATCCCCAGCTTGTCACTTAGCAGCACTCTGCCTGTCCTTCTGCTCTGTGGTTGATTTATTCCCAGAATTGTCTTCCTATACAGTATATTATTCACTTACACATCTATTCTGTTACCTTTTCATCTTCAGTGCTTCTTTTATGAACAGAACCACAGTCTGGAATGTTTTCTACAGCTTATTTTTTTTAATGTTCAGATTCTATGTAAGCATGGAACCTAATAAAATGTAGTGCAGATGCATGGATGCCACAAGGTTTCCCACAGATGTCAATCAAGTCCCCAGGCCACTTTGAAGTGACATCTTTTTTAACGAGCTACCTAAAAAGGTCCCACTCTCACTTTTTAGTGTGAGCCGATTGGCTGGCCCAGGGCACTGATTATGAAGATCAATTCAACAATTCTAGATCTGAATTTATGTGTTTCTTACACAGTGATTTCTAATTTTTAAGCAAAAACCAAGCCTAAATAAAATAAATTCAAAAAGGAAAACACAAAACAAGAGAGTAGGCATCTAGGGAAGGTGGCAGGGTGTGTTAGTATTTCACTGTTACGACAAAATAAGGAAAGCAATTTAGAAGAGGAAGGGTTTATTTTGGCTCATAGTTTCAAGCGTTTCAATCTAAAGTCTGCCAGTAGCCAGGAGGAATATCATGGCACAGGACTGTGGTAAAGGAAAACTGCTCAACTCACAGCAGCCAGGAGGCACAAGAGGGAGGGAAGAGCCAGGGAGAAAGGGTCCGAGGATCAGATGGTCCCAAAGTTTATGTCCACATCACCCACGTCCTTCAACTAAGCTCCACAACCTCTTTCCTTCATCTCCCAATAATGCAATCAGGTTATGATCTCACGAATTCACTTGATCTCATGATCTCGCTTGAAGTTAGAGCTGTCCTCAGGATCTAGTTCTCCTCAAAGCCCAGCAGACAGCAAACAAGCCTCTAGCACACAAAGGGACATTTCAAACCCAAGCCATAACCGAGGGGCAAAGCAAAGTGTAACCATTCCATGGTGAACAGCCAGAGCTTGCTACACCTTTCTTCAGAACTGAACAGTGAACACTGTAGTTAAAAGCCAAAAATAAGAACATCGTATATCATCATCCAGGGAGGATGTTGTGGACCCGCAAACTTGCCAAAGTACTCTGAAGTCTGTTCCACAGGAAAAAGACTGCGCACTGTTCTGTTAACAGCTATCTTTGTCCTGACAGATGAGAGGAAAGGCAGAGAAGTTGACTGGCAGGGAGTAAGAGACCATATTCAAAGACTGATTGCTGGATCCACTGACTTAATTTCATCCAGGAAAAGCACCAGTAAAGATGTTTAGTAATCGAAAAGCGTAAGTGGGTAGAAACAACCACCAAAAAAATGACAATTATATAACAGCCCCTAAGGTCAACCATAAAAAATGCATGCTCTGGCAAAGGCTGAACATATTCCCAGAAGTTTCATCTCCAGACACTCTAAAGACAAGGGTGAGTGGAGCGCAATGTCTAACAAAGGCACAGTCAGTTGATGTACTGGATAGTGTGGATGGTTTCGTGTGACGACCTGTCATCTGTCTCTGTCACCAGTGAACTTTGCAAAAAAATGTTCATTCAATATTACGCTGAAAGAGGCCTTAGAGGTTTATCTAATCCATGCCCTCATTTTACTGATGAAGCTTCTCAAGTATGGAAATTCAGATACAAGAAATTCAAATTTTTGACTTTTATAAGAATGTGAAGTGTAAGTACAGAAAACATAATCTGCATTGTACAGGGTAGTGCTGAATTTGCCCTACCTGGTTGTTCCCATGTATACACCTGTACTTGTCAGAACATGTGTTCCCATATGGGATTTGGAAAAAAAATGATTACCGTATTGGCTCAGAAAATAATGTCCAGAAAACCTAGTTTGGCTTTTGCATCCTCTGCAGAGGTACACAATTTCGTGAAGGAAAAGAGAATAGAAACATGTTCTACTCTTTTTTCTTCCTCATGGTTGAGCTTTCACAGACATACATGGTTTGAAGAAGAAACAGCCTCTGCAAGTCTCACAAGCTATTGATGAAAGGAGTAATAGGAAGGAAAACAGGAAAGAAGGTAAAGAGATGCCTGATGTGGAACACAGTGAATTACAATTTTGCAAGTTACACAGGTTGCACGACTATTAGCACATAAGAATGCTCTTTGAAAAACTAATCTAATAATAGGTCCGTGTAGCTAAACTGCTGGAAGTGGGGTAGGGGGACTGAGTGTAAGACATGCTACAAGAAAGCAGACCAGGCAGGGAAGGAGGCTACTACCCAGGAGAAGAATGTGTGTAGGGTGGTGCAGAGCAGACTTCTTCCTCCTAAATCTGGCCACTTCCACTCCAAAATAGGAGAGAGCTATGCAGAGCATCCCCAGAGGAGAGACCCAGCAAGGATAATAAAGCAGGAGATGAAAAATATGGTATGGAGACCACAGAAGCACTCTGTGTGAGGGAGTAAAATCCACAGTAGCTCCAGAAACTTTCCCTTTAAAGACAGCAGAATAGTGAACCTTTGTATTAGGCTCTTTATTGATACTAAAAATAAAAACACAGCTAAATTGCCTGCCTGTACCCTTTCTCCTTCCTTATTTCTCCTTTCCTTAGCACACCACTCACTATGCAAACATCCGGGATTCTAAAAGGATATTAAATATTGGTTTGTTGGAGTCCTAAAGTCCAGGAACAACCCAGAAATGTTTACAAAGGGTGGCTGAGAAAATCCTAGTTCCAAAAGGATTGTAAGTTTAGTATTCCTCCCTTAAAGAAAAATAACCAGAACATCTAAACACTTCTAGGCTAAATAATTAAACATGACTTGTTCCTAAGATTTAAGGCATGATTTAGTGAAATTTTCTCATCTTACTGGCATTTTTAAAGAATCCTAAACACTGTACAGATAAAAGTTTGATGCTATTTAAAGAAAATTTTGTTTCTATCATCCTTGCCTTTGTTTCCCGTGCCACAATAAAGAACAGAATATTAATAAGCCCTGTTCAGAGAAGACACCTGCTCAGCACTTAAACTTGGCACCCTGCGAGACTATTCATTCACTGAGCTGTTAACTGTGTCACCTGCCTCTGCCTTTTTCTTTCTTTCTTTCTTTTTGTGAATGTTGCCACCATTTTACAGAAAACTGTGAGAAAGTTCCTCTGGAACACCTGTGACATCAAGAGAGGGGTTGAAAAGATCCTGAAGCTTAAGAGTTAACAAATTTGACTTCATACTTTCAGATATTATCCCCTCTCCACATGCATTTTCTGAAAGCAGAAGCTGAGCACCTGGCATTTCGGTTTCTATTTCTATTATATTTCTCAGTCCCACTAGAGGCTTAGTCTGAGAAGAGGAAAAATTTGACTCTTCTGGGTGTGTGTATGCGTGTGTGTTTGTTTACTGGGGGCTACATTATAGTTTTTTGTGTGCACATTTCTTCCAGATTGCTAGGCTATTAGCCAATTGACAACCCCAAGTAACTTTGATACTTATGTCCAAAATCCCAAGATGATGGCACAGACCAGGAAATGAATAGGTTGCTTTTTCAACAATTAATTAATTAATTAAAAGTTAATCTTCTCTGATTGAACCTGTTTGGAGCCCCTGCATAGTACTAAAAGACCCTCGGAGATGGTGTTTCACTTTGACAAGTCAGTCCACTATTGTTTGATTTGAAAGCTGGTCCATTTGTACTCTGGGTATATATTGAAATATAAAAAAGTATTTGACTTCTGTATGCTTTGGGCTTTAACTATTCATCACGTATTATGTCAGTCTTTTCTTTCTGATCCCTCCAGGACAGAACATTATTTCATCCTGTAAGCAACAGCTGCATGGATTCCAACCCAGCAGAAAAGAAGATTTTCATGGCCAGATGTGACCCCCTATCTGAGACTCAGCAGTGGATTTTTGAACACATTAACATGACTGTTTTAGAAAAATTTAGCTACCATGTCAGCTCCTAGAAAGAAGAAAGAAAAAAAAAAGATAGACTATCTACAGATTATGAACTAGATGTTAGCCAGCATCTGGGTCAAAGGAGTCAGGAATAACATTTCCTAGATCCAGGAACTCTGGTTTAATGATTTGTAAATGCCACGTCAAAGTAGGTTGTCCTGAAGAACTTCCTGCATCTGAAGAACTTGGCTAAGAATCTCACCAGCTGCTTCTGAGAACTCGAGACTAGCAGTTCCCTTGCTGGCCAAGGGCGAAGATTATTTAGAGACTTTTCGAAACAACTGCTGAGTTAATAAATCCTAGCATTTCTCAGGTCAAATCCTGCAGTAGTGAGTAGCTATGAATGGATCCTATTAATCGGGTGGGAGGGGGGTGGAAACAGAGTGCATGACTGCTCTGACAACCTGAGGTTACCACAGGCTTAGAACTAGCCACGCTGAAGGGGTGAGCTGTCCTCTTTGGTGCCATTCTCTGACTAAGAATGGGTTAAGCAGGTTTAACCCTTAAAAGTGCTGCAGATGATTTTAGAGTGCTCATACCATTCTCTTTTGTTTTATTTTTAAACAAGGGTGGCACATCTATAATGACGTAAGTTACATAATGAAATGGACTTCCAATTTTCCCATTCTCTTTTACATTTGTCATTTTGCTTTTAGAGCAGAAGCTAGTTATTGTCCATAAAAAGTCATGCTCCATAAGTCAGTTGAGATTCTCATTCAGTGCCCTTGTGTGAATCCAGTTAAAATGAACAAACAAACAACAACAATAAAAGCTATACTATCAAGTTACTCCAAAGAAAGATTTCACAGAAGCAGCAAAACCATAAAAAGGTATAGGAAAGAGATTTCCCTAGGAAACCTATTTTTACTTTTCTATTATTTTTAGAATTTTAAAAGTCTGATGTTTGTCCCATCATTATTTTTATTAAGGAAGGAAATGGAGTGAAGTTGATGTAATTTGTTTAGGAAAGTCTTAAACCCAAATAAATCCACACTCCAAATGACATAGAAAATGTCTTTGTTCACTTCAATTTAACCAGTGCTGGAAATTTAGAAGTGGTTTTATTTAATTAATTGTTTGGGGATTTTTACATTTTTTATATTGTTGATATTAATGATGTTATTATTTTATTTGGAAGCCCTTAAGAGGTATTACCATTAATAAAGTGCTTCTGATGCCATTTTCTGTTAATGGGGCAATATTTCAGAAAAAAAGAAATGACTCAAAAACTAATGGAGTATTTAATCTTTACAAGAATCTCTTTTTAATAATAATGAGCTGGGGAAGAATATTTAGGTACCAAGATGCATCTCTACAGGAAAGATTCATATTTATTTTATTTTTCTAAAGTTCTTTCAGAAACAAGAATGTTTTTACCTTGTTTTTAATTGTTGTTTTTTATCTTGATTTTCCTGTTAATATTTTCTTAGATACAGACTACTGAATGTTAGAACCACAAAGACTCACAAGATCTAATCCCTTTGGGGTTTGGGGGGTTTTGTTCTTTTCAGATAAACAATTAAAGCCCAGAGAGGCCCAGCTCCACAGAACTGCTGGGTCTATTGACCGTTAGTCTTGTTGTGTCTCCTGCAGTGTACCATCTCACGCTTTTGTCCAAGGCGGTTTGGATTATTACTCCGATTGAACTTGAAATTTTCAGTTACCATATAAGAATATTATACTTTGTTGGCAATTTCCCCCCAAATAGCCTTCGTGTTTAGAAACCTTAATATATGAATTCTTCTTGTAAATGTCCATGATTTTGTTCTCTCCTTAAAACCTAATCAAAATGTCCAGTTAAACTTCCCTGCTAATAGTTGAGGAAAAGTTATTTCACTATCATTACTGATTTTTTAAAGTATTCCTTTGAAGATCTACTCTTTTTAAACCAACGTTCACAAAGATATTTAGTATAGGTCAAGAGATCTTGAAGGATTCAAGATGCATAGTGGAGAAAATCAATAGTGAGATATTAACCTGTGTGTTGAACATTTCTAAAGAGTCGGTGAAGATTTATCTCGAGTGTTCAGAGAGCAATCTAACTGGAGTATTAAATGGGCCTATAAAAATTCACATTATCTCATTAAACAGTTGACTGCTATTTACAGTTGTGCCAAAGAGGCAACCTGTGTTCTGTATCCTAGAAAGCTCAGATTTGTCCTGATCGCTTAGGATGCTGTAATCAGGATTGGCTAACCAGGCAATATCTTTTGAGAAAGCCTGAATTTTTCATCATTTTAGTGTGACATGCACTTGTCAACCAAGATTGATCTCCTATTTTCTGGGTAAGGGAATAAAACATCAGAAATATTTTTTTTTAATGAAAGGGTGCTTGATATATTAAATCCAAAATTAAAACTTCAAACAAGCAATTAATTATTGAATGTATGTACATTTAATAACACACAAGTAGAATAAAATGAATCCTAGAAAAGCTTCTCCTAAGCAGAGGGGAATAACCTATAAGGACTTTTAAGGAGGCATTTCTGCTACCATGACAGAACTATCACTATCAATCTGTATAAAATGATACATATATGTGCATTTTTAACTGACAAAGGGGACTGAACAGTCCTCAGAAAGAGTCTTATTCCTGGAAATAACACACTTTGAAAATTGAACAGTAGAATACTCACCTATCCTGTTATCAGAATCAGAGGGAAAATATCATAAAGTAAACCTGGTCATGAAGACTACTGCTTCCCATAATAAGAAATAGTTTTTGCAGTTAAAAAAAGAATTAACTTTTTAAGACCTTTTGCATATATGCAGAGAAAAAGCTACATTGTAAAAAATTGTGGACTAATCATGGTATTTATACATCTTCCAAGGCTGATTACCACAATGGCAATAATAATGTCTCCTGTTATTATTTAGTTTAAAATATTAACATGATCACGTGACTGTTTTAAATATATCCATATTTAGAACCCTTAGTGAATAATGAAAGTTCCAGGATTATTTTGTAAATTGATAACACAGAATTTTATATAATAAATGGATGACACATAATGCAAATGGACTTACAGCCACTGGTAACATTATAGGTCAATTTTTTTTCACATTTCTGGCAAAACACAAAGCTAATACCAGCACTTGACAGCATTTACTTTAGTGACAACTGTATGGTTTAAAAGAAGATAACAGTCAAAATATAAGTAAGTAAATATTTATTTTAAGCTTCTTGCTTCCACAAGAAAAACTTCTATTTCATTCTTTTTATATCTCTATGAGGAAAGAGCAAAAGGCATCTTTCAACAGAAAGACCAGCACTATAGTGTATGGCAAGATCCTCCAGAAGTCCAATGACACTTTAAGTGCAAAACCAGTTGTCTAACAGTCATAAAAGGCCACACCTTCCACCATGTGACATCTGGGTCTCAAAACTTCACAGATCTCTGAGGACTCAGAAGGTGACTGATGGCAAAACTATGCCAGATCTACATTTGACTCCCTGTCTTAAGTGTTATAGAATCTTTCCCAAGGGGAGAGATTTCCCTGGTACTCCCCTAGGGAGGAATGATATGTTATATATATCTTTTTCAGAATTGACAACCATCCTAATAATATGACAATGTAAGCTTTTACTCTTTCCTAGGAACTCACTTAAAATCTCTTTAGGCTTCTTACCCTGGCAGGAATATAAGGCTACTATATAATTACAAAACCAGGTGCTGGAGACATGCTGGAAGTAAGGCACATTATATAAATCAAGAGGAGGAACACCTCAAAGAAAAAGTATTTTTGAAATGATTCCTTATGATCCTGGGAGTAAATATAAAAGACAAGAAGTAAATTGTATCTCTAGATATGAGTGTGTGTGATCCTCTCCATTCATCTCATCAACCTCTACCCGCGCTGTCGTCACTCTCAGAGGACACCACTAACTGTAATTACTCTCCTCGTGTGAAACTGTGGCTGAAGACACTGAAGTGTGACAAGTGGCCAGTCCTCCCCACACTGCCAACATTGGAAGATTGTTCTTTGATTTATGTCCATAGCTTTTGCAGAACTGGGAGCTGTTTGCAGCTCAATTTGGTAAGCTTGACATTGGCCTGAAGATTTATTCAGTCACTCATCTCTGCACTTGACATACCACACTGGTGTATCTGGTACTGTAGCTGCTCAGCAGCTCTGGCACATTTTATACTTTGCTTCAGAGAAACTGGGAAACATTCTTGCAACCTTCCTGCTGGAGGTTTCCCCCCTTCAGCTTACTGCACGCTGGCTTCGTGGGGTTTCCACTGTCCTCCACTCTCAGTGCTCAGTGCTCTCTGCAAACAACCAACCCCAGCTCCAAATCTTCTTGATCTTCTTGTTAATGATTTTATTCTGGCATCATTGACCATGGAGTGGGAGCTGACTGTAACTAAGTAATATATGTCCTGGTTTTCCAAGGACAGTCTTGGTTTATGCCTATTGTCCCATGCAATTATTAATAATACCCCTTTTTTACCCTTTTGCCTTGAAAGTGTCCTGATTTGGGAAACCATTATAAAGTCACCCTATTCATAATCCATCTGCCTGTTCACTTTGTAATTCCTCTAAGTTAAAACATCCTTTGCTTATCATTGCCTATAAGAAATCAGCTAGTCTCATCCCTTCCCTTCAAATAGAACTAGATTAAAACCATTTGATTAATGACTACCAATTACTTTTAGGTAGTTCTTTACAATTTGCTAAATAGAAGACTTTTTATCTAGAGTTCTTATACCCACCTAAATCTGTTTTCTGAGTTCATATCATTCTAATTTAAGTGGATTTTCATAATTTAAAATGTGCTCAAAATCAATTGTTTTATTTTTTAAGTTATTTCAAGGTATAAACAGTGGATCTCCAATATGGACTAATAGCCACATGACACATTCTAAGTATTATAAGATGTATGTATTCTATTCAGTAGTGTTTTTGTTATTCAAAACAATTTTATATACATTTTCTTTTTCTGCCTTACCATGTTTATGAAGAAACTAACAGACTCAGGGTAAAGGAGCTTGCGAGGTCATGGTCACACAGCATGTTGGCAGAATCAGGACTATAATTCAGGCCTTCTGATACTTAGTCCTCTGCTCCTTCAACTCTCTGTGGTACTTTATACCTCACTACTGGGTTATCAACAGTAAAATCAAATATGGAGTACATTGAGTTACTTCAAAATAGCCTAATCACCTACAGCTCTGCGAATTTTGTTTTTAACCCCTTAATTATGTTTATTCTTCTCTGCTCCTATTTGTTTTTATTGGGTTTCCCACAAGCTTAGAAATGTAAGAACACAAAACTGAATCCAAGAGTAATCCCTCTTAATGAGTTTCTAGGGTACTTCTAGGAAAAGAAGTGATCAACTAAAGCTATTTGTATAGCTGTAGATGATAAATTCTAAAGCAAATACAGTGTGCTATGTGATTATTAATGAGTTCAGTCCACAGGGTAGGGAAAATAGCCACTAAGCAAAGAACTTGCATTTACTTTTCAGTAAGTCTACAAACTGACCTTCTTTCAAGATTCTTATATCTGAAAAGTTCTATCAAGAACAGCTCTTAGACACTAGAGACTTTGTACGTATTGATGTTACTTCTCTCTACGGTAATTCTTCTCTCCTAGGGATTCTTATTAAGCATATAGGTTACCAGATACAGTATCTTCATCTGCTCACACTGCTAAACAACATAAACATAAACTAGATAGCTTATGGTCAACAGAAATCTATCTCTCACAGTTCTGAAGACTTAAAAGCCCAAGATCAAAGAGGAGGTACATTCAGTGTCTGATGAGGGCCCAATCTGTTGTTCATAAACAGCTTCCTTTTATTATGTCCTCACTGGTAAGGGAACGCTCTAGGATCTCGTTCATGGGTACAAATACAAAGTATGAGGGCTTTGCCCTCTAACTTACTACACTCACAAAGGTCTTACCTCTTAATAGAAGCATCTTGGGTCTTAGAATTTCAACGTAGGCATTGTGGTGGGTACAAATATT